AATAAAATCATTCAATAATATTATTGCCTTTTATAAAACAGATCTTCTATTTATCTTATATAATCATAAATAAGACGAAATAAAGTAGATTAAAAAATAATAATATAGAAATCTTTGAAAAATACTTAAGAATATTTTATAGTAAAAATTAATTTAAAAAACTGAAAATTTATACTTAAAAAAGATTGATTTTGAACCAAGGTCAAAATCACAACTTGAAGTACAAAACCATACACTTGCAGCAATTCTAAGATTTTTCTTATTAATCAAAGAGAAAAAATAAGAAAGATACTTTAAATAATTAATTTTGGTATTTTTTTAAAGTAATTTTGTTTAATTTTAAGTTTATGAGAGTTTTTTTTAAAGTCAAAGATGTTTTCAATGATTTTAGATTTTAAAAAATTAAAAAAATTAAATATTTGAAAAATTTGTGACTATTATAGTAGCTAGATAAGTGAAATATTTTGGATTTGTAAATGTGCTTGTTATAAATGTGTTTTATCAATCTAAGATCAATTAAACATTTAGATTAAAACATATTAGAATTTGATTAGGATCTTAAATATTTGAATTTTAAGATTACTAAGAGTTTATGTAATCTTCAGCAATGTTCTAGTTGAATTGAATCAAAATTTTGTGAATGCATAATGGACTTAATTTTAAATAATTTTTTAATTTGAACAGCAAGTCAATGATTCAACAAGGAATTATTATTGCTAAAAGATTACTATCAAGGTTGAAGAAAGAAGATAGCCAATATCCAAGTAAATTATGATTTTTTTTTTCCAATTTTTTACTTTCTAGAACCAAGTATCCAATGGATTCTCAAGCAAGAAAATATATTATATGACAATAGTCTCTTTTATAGTTGGATAAATTTGTTTCTCAATATATTATCTTTATTGGCAAGTATGTTTTTTATTTTATGGTTGCATCTTTTTTTGGACAATATTGAGTAATGTGCTTAGATTCTCTTCAATATAAGCACAATTTTTTTTTAACAATGCTAAGTCTTTTCTTATTTGGTGAGAGATTTAAAATGTTTTGCATCAATTTGTATAGGTTTTAATCTTAATTAATAAATTTCTAAAAACTTAAGAGTTATTGTTATGACTTAATTTATTATTTTCTAACCAAAGCTTTGTTCTTGGTGCCTTTCAAAGAATCAATTATTGCATGCAATGTTTTAGCAATAAGTTATTTTAATAAGTTTTTTCAACATTATTAATAATAAATTTTTGATGTTATTCTTTAATCCATAGTAAAATTAGTTGATGAGGATTTTAACATTTCAATCCACATTGCAAGTAAGGCTTTAGAATTTGGTAGCATAGATGGTAGATGATTATAATCCATATCATAAAAATAAGAATTTTTTTGTTACTCTTTTTAAATCATTTTCTTTAAATGTGGAAGTAAACACTTGCTAAAATAAATTTAAATCAAGCAAAGATTGTATTTTATTTTCCATCAAATGTAAAAACTAAGAAAAAATATTTCTAAATAATAATGCATTCATAAATCCAACTTAGATAAGTCCATTAAAATATTAAGAAGTGTTATTAAAAAATATTGTACATTCACAATGAAAAAACTAAAAATAAAAAATCAGATGTATATAGACACAATATGTATGTGGTTCACTTCTTTTGAAGCTATATCCACTGGAAAAATCTCAAACTCATGGCTTTAGTAATTTCACATTCTAATTAAAATATATTCTCTTTAAATGCATTCTTTTATTGCAAGATCTATCCTATACATTGTTTTCTAACTCCAAGTTCACTTGAGGCTATATCCTATCAAGATTCCGAACAATAAATTCTAAATTTGATTCTATACTTTGGCATTTCTATTCTCATGTCACAAGTGATCCATACCACAAGGCTCCACCACATACTTTAGCCAAGGGAGCTCTTGCTCCTTTTAATCCTTGATTGGAGCTAACACTAGACCTTGTAAAGACATTATTACTTAATAAAATACAAGCTACTATTAATGAGAAGGATGTAATTTTGAATAGAATTACATATCATAGAGATCCTCAAAATTTTGTTCTTGTTCCATCAACTTCTCCAGCATATTATTTTTTTCCTATTTTATACTTTTATTTTCTAATTTTTTTGGATTCACTTATAAAGTTGATTTGCTAGCTTTTTTTCTACTCCATAATTTTTTGGTATAGATATTAGACCTCATTGTTGACTTCTTTGATAAGCATAGGAATAATATAACTATATTTGACATTGCTAACATATAAATTTTTTGCCTCAAGAATGTTGACAAGCTCATGAAGATTTGCAAAGTTATAAATCTACTATCACCCCTACTAAGTATAGTATCTATAATTTCTTTTCTTTCTATTTCTACAATAGAAAACTTTAACAAATCATTAATTTAAATTAAAGGAGTTTAATTTATAAACTATAATATTAAGTCAAAATTTCTACAAAGATAGGTAGTCTATCATTTTAAAAAAAATAAATGTTAAATATATATATATATATATATATTAGTTAAAAGGTAGATAGTTTGCTTTTGTATTATAGTATGGCTAATGAATAAAAGATAGAAGAAAAAAATTATATTACAGAAGGTTTTATTTCAAAAAATAATAACAAATTATTCATACAAATATAAATAATAGTTAAGGAGGTAATAAAACTAATAAGTATTAATTTTTTTTTTATGAAATGAGCTTTTATTTATTTTATAAGACCATAAATAAGATAAAATAAAATAATATAAGATAGATTAACAAAAATAGTATTATTAGTATCTTAAAATAGAAATAAATGATAGTTTCTAAAAAAAATTATCTAAAAATTTAGATGTTGATATTTGAAGAGGACTAATTATGAATTTAATCAAAATCAAATCTTTAGACATAAAACCATGCTTTTATGGCAAATTTAGGTTTTTTTGTTGACTAGAGAGTAAGGCTATAAAAATAAATTCCTATGATTTGGTTAAGCACTAATTTTAAGTGATTTGAATTAATAATTGAATTATCACTTAATTTAAGTTATAAATCTATTATCAGTTATTTCTTTAAGATTTTGTTATAATTGCTTTATGAAATTTTTAGAGTTTTTTTAAGATTTCTTTAAGATCTTTTATCATTTTTTTTGATGATTTTTTATAAATTACCTAATGATTCTTTTAGGATTTCTTTAAGATCCTTTAGGATTTGATTAAAGTGTGACTATAATTGCTAAGGTTAAATTTAATTTTTTTTCAGATTTTTAAAATAATTATTATGTTCTTTGTTTGTTGTAAATTCACATTACTTTCTACATAGATGCCACATGGCCAACTTGTACTAAAAGAGTATATAATGCAATATTAAATTTTTATTTAATTTATCAAAATGAACAATATTTTAAAGCATATAGATGCTCTGGAATATTTGGATAAGTTTTATTATTTTTAATATAACTATACAAATTTTGACATATTATATAAAATTTTGACATATTATATTATATTTAAATTTTTTAATGATATTTAATTAATTTATTATCATATTTTATATTATAGTCATTAACTTAATTTAATTTTTGAAAACCTTTCTTAGTCAATAGCTAATTTTTAAAATTACATTATAATTTTTATAAAAGTTGTAGATAATTGCGATATTATTTTATTTGATATTAATTATTAGTTGAGAAATTAATCAATTTCTTATGTATCTATATATATATTTATATATTTTTTTTTATCAAAATATCTAAATCTTATTATTTGATAATAAATTCAATTATTTTTTATGTATAGATTTAAATCCTATCATAAGTGCCTCTAAATTTTTTAATATAAGATTATTTTTATAAAAAAATAATTAAAGTAAAGATAAATTTAACCTAATAAAAAGTCTTTTAATAAATTATTAGAATTGAATAACATTGAATTTAAAATAAAATCTATACTTAATTGATAAATCAACAAAACTTAGTCTTGTTACCATCAAAAAATTAAAAGAGAATAACTTTTAGTTCTTCAAAGAATTTTATTTTATTATTAAGTAATTTTTAATAGAAAAAATCAAATGAGGTGGTTTTATTAATTATTTCCAAATGAACTACTAAAAATTTCAAATTTCAACAATATGATGTTAGAATTAAAAAAAAGAATTTCATGACAATAAATTATGTCAATAAAAAATCAGATACAATAAGTATTAAAAAATTTAAATATTATGAAGACTTGATGGTGTTATTGGGCATAGGTTCTATCCATTACAAATATTTGATAAAATTTGTAATAAAAATATTGGGTAGTTTACTTTTCTATAAATAAAAAAACTATTGATTGCTTATAGAATAAATGAGATATCTTTTTGTGATACAAAACTCAAAGTTTGTAGCAATATATTATTTAATACATTATCAACTTCATAAACTTAAAAAATTATTTGGAATCTCATTGCTCTTTGCAGAACTTTATTTAATAATAATAATAATAATAATTTGGATACCTACAGTACTTTAGAATATAAATTTAAGTAACTAGAAGTAGGAATAAATTAAGTTGTTAATACTTCTTTATAAAACATTGTAGAAATTTTCGAAATCCTAGTTTAGATATATACTGGTTAAAAGTATATTTTAAATAGGAATAAAATTTCAGTAAATTTAAAATATTATTCAATTTTTTAAAAAATATTATCAAAATATCAAAAATCTTCAAGCAAAGTTTCTTGGTAATATAATTTCTTAAAGTTTGGCTTTATTCCAAAATTTCTAGAATAAACACAAAATTATTTTTCGAAAATTAAAGATGATGTTAAAATGTAACATCAGCTCGCACACTAAGCCAATAAGTTCGAGGAATTTGAATTTCCAGTGTGAGAAAAATTATCATTAATCAAGCACGTTCTAAACCTTGATTTTCCATGTGCAGGAGCAGAAAGTCAACGCTTGACCGAGTGACGGGCAGGCTGCGATGCAAGCCCCGATCCAGCGGAGACGACCCGATCCAGTGCGTCGTCCCCGCGCGGGGAAAGCTGACGGTGAGCCCCTCTCCCTCGCAACACGACGTGAACTCTTGCTCGCTCTCTCTCAATTCTTTCCTCTTCGCCTCGATCGCACTCGTCGTGTGTCTCGATTGATCTCCATGGCCGAGCTCCTTCTCCCAATTCTTGCCCTCCGTTCTTTGTCTCTTCCCAGGGCTTGGGCTGTCTGATTTTTCCCGCTCCCAACCACCTCTTATGGCGGTTTTTCTGCGCTCTTGAGCCATGGGGCCAATTGCTTAGCACTTAGTTTGAAAGCCTTCATCTCGAGATCTTCAACGGTGTGAAATTTCATTGGTGTGAGGAAAATTATTAGCCTTCCGACAGGAGGTGGAAGGCTTCGAGGATATTGGATTGAGCCAAGGAGGATCGAGGTCGCTGTTTGGAAGACCAAGGTTGTCAAACATGGTCGCCATGGATCTGTTCCGATCGGAGGAGATGTCTCTTGTGCAGCTCATCATTCCTGCCGAATCAGCTCACGATACTATCACCTGCTTGGCTGAGCTAGGTCTGCTCCAGTTTAAAGATGTGAGTCTCGTACCGGGTTTCCACTTCTTGCGTGACAATTACGGTAACTTCGCGTAAATGACATGTAATTGTGTATCAGAATGGGAGGACTTATAGTAGTTTAGTCGCTGTACTTTCAAGGATATTCAGAATTTTTTGCGGTAATTAATGGATGGGCTGGGTATTATGTACGCGTCCAAGGCTCCAGCATAAATATAGTTTCTAAGCCTCAAACGATTGGTGTCGAAGGTCTTTTTTTTTTTCTCATATACTAGATCGGTGAAGTTGGTTTTAATGGTAAGATGATTTCTTGTTCTGCATTCTCATGTGATTGCATCTAGATTTTTATTTGTAAATAAACCTTAAAAGGTGAATGTTCCCTTAATTACAGTTTTTTTGGGGGAAGCAAGGGTTTGATATGTGCTTCTCTTTGGTTCTATTGGTTGCGTTATTGAAGCTTGAGGTTAGAGTCAGAATTTGGGGAAGAATGAAAATTTTCTAACCCTTGTACTTAAAATATGTCAGTTAGAAAGAGGTTGTACAGCTGCATGTTTCAGGCATCTTTAAGCACATTCTTTTTTTAAGGATCCTGATTGCTGCATGTTTACTGCTGAATCCATTTTTTTGGGGTAGTATGTATGATTTTCGGATCGGATCTTGTATTTTCCTTGTTAGGAATATTAGTATCTGATTTTTTGGAGGTTCCGGGATGGCTCTGATGCATTGCAGAAGACAACGCAAATCCAATATATTTAAAGTTCCGTTTGACATTCATAAATAGCGTTTTATGTTTGCAAAAGAAGCATAACTTGGAAGAACAATATATCTCTGTTTCCCCGCAGTCTGCCTCCTGGGGTGAATAAAATGCTTCCAAAAAAACATGCTTCAAATAGCGCTGAGCGAAGAGTCGCATTGTAATTTTCCTGTGCTGATGAAACAACAAAATTTTCAATATTATAGTTATTACCGTATACGAGTTTTTCTTCCTTACCAGTGCCTGCTGCTTGACATGGTAGCTAAATCCAGAGAAAAGTCCATTCCAGCGAACCTATGCTAACCAGGTGGGTTTTCCGACATCCGTCAAAGTCCGTTTTTGGTTGCCACTGCCTAAAAGCTTGTTTATTGCCTTCATCCGATATTGTTTGAGCATTTTTTTGCGTCTTTCACACTTTTTGTTGGTCAAGTTTTTTAACCTTGCGTTGCAATTTTTAGCTCAAGCGATGTGGAGAAATGGGAAGGAAAATACGTTACATTCAGGACCAAATTGCAAAATCTGGTAAAACATCTTCATACAGACCTTTAACGGACAAAGATATCAATTTGAATGAGCTGGAGACGAAACTCACGGAACTCGAGGCTGAGTTGCTAGAGATCAATGCAAATACGGATAGACTTCAACGCACCCATAGTGAACTTACGGAGCTCCAGTTGGTACTGCACAAGGTATCAGATCCGAACTCTGCAGACAAGATTGAGTGCATGTTGGGATCAGAAGTTGGTGTCATACCTTAAAATATTGTCCACTGCTGTAGTGGCTGGTCTGGATGGAAGTAATGAACGCTGTATACTATTTGACGGCTTAGTATGAAGTATACCTTCTGGTTTCTTCTGCACATACATTTGATGCTGACCTTGGCAAGAATATTTGCATGAGTACTCCTCTAATTCATTTTTGTTGCCTCATATATGTCAGTTGAATCATTGCATTGTTTTCTGTGGATAGGCTGGTGTTTTGTTCGGTTCCGCGAGAGATGCAGCAAGTACTGTACAACACCAAGGAGCAGATACTGAGAATGGTTCTTCTATTGAAGAAGCCGTTGATTACCCACTTCTACAAGAGCAGGTGCAGTGTGCTTCAATTATGACATGAATGTGAATCTAAGATTGTCTCGGTTTTGAAATAGCTTTCTTTCATTGCAATCCTTGTGTATTTTATTGCTCTTCTACTTCTCTATCCCGTGTAAAGGCAATGTCATCTATTGGGTGATTCCCACAGGAGATGCAGACCGACCCCTCAAAGCAAGCCAGATTAGGTTTTGTTACAGGTTTGATTTCTAAGGCTAAAGCTGCATCTTTTGAGCGTATTATTTTCCGAGCTACGCGAGGCAACATGTTTTTGAAACAAGCTCCAATCGAGGATGCGGTTTTGGATCCAGCCACTGGTGAAAAGGTCTGCTGATTACTAACTCTCATATTGAGATTTAGACCGTGATAATCTCTTTTTTCACTTATACATTACACAAACATCGAGATTCTGTTCATTTTATGTAGTGTGTGCCACTTTCATTAATGAATAAGTCCAACTTTGTTTGTACCCGTTGAAAATTTGGAGGGAAATTGGCAGAAGAAGGGTGAAGTACCCGTCATAAAGAGAGGTGAAGAGAAAGGGTGCAGTGTGTTCTGTTATGTCTAGAATTTTAGATACAGAAAATGGCCGAATTTTTCGGTCTTAAAGTACTCTGCCCATACATAACACAAACTGTGTGGAACCGTGGATCAATTTGGACGTTCTTTGGGATCACAAATTGCTTTCCTTTGAGTAACATCTACAATTGGCCAAATGTAGGTGGAGAAAACAGTTTTTGTATTGTTTTTCTCTGGAGAGCGCGCCAGAACAAAGGTTGTTAAGATTTGTGAGGCCTTTGGAGCCAATCGCTATCATTTCCCTGACGATCCAAATAGGCAGCGACAGATGAAGTCTGAGGTACCAAATCTACGACTTCATTTGTGTTTTCTTGTTTACTTAACTAAAGAATTGTCTTGAAGTCCAAGTTCTAAATTGATCTCTTTTTCCATCCCAGATCAAGGGTGGATTGGATGTTCTGACACTACATCCTATTATTGAATTGTACGTTTTTATTGTATTATGTTGACTTCTAGAGCTTCTGGCGTTTTGAGAGTTCTCAGGTATCCTCAGTTGTAACCCACAAAGTGTACTATTTGTATACTGGATATTAATTCTGGATTGTGTGATGTTGATGTAGAGTATGCAGATTTGTATTGTTCAAAACATGTTAGTCATTCTCTAGCTTTTTTATTCTGTAGGTCGATATGAGGCTGGTTGAGCTGCAAAGTACGCTTGATGCTGGTATTCACCACAGAGACAATGTTTTTAACAGCATTGGATACAATCTTGAAAAATGGGCTGTTATGGTGAGGCACATTGTTGATCACATGGATATCCCCACTTCTTTTTTTACATGTTCTTTGAATATTTTGAATCCAAAGGTATTAGTTTTGAATCCAAAAGTTCAAAGATGAAAAAAATTCTTTGAATTTATCTTCTTCGGTTTAGGGTTATTCTTGAAATTCGCTAGTTTTTCGCTACTGTAGGTGAGACGTGAGAAGGCAGTGTATGTCACGCTCAATATGTTGAGTATTGATGTCACTCGCAAGTGCCTGGTAGCTGAGGGTTGGTGCCCTGTCTCTGCCAAGCCCAAGGTGAACCTAACCTCCCTCTTCATTTTTGTAATAATAAACATGAGGAAATCCTTTTTAAATGTTTGCAGTTATTTATTGTTTATAAACTTTTGTGCACTTGTATTGATTAGTTGTTTCATTTTGGATTTGGGAGTTTAGATTCATGATGCTCTTCAAAGAGCTGCACACGTCAGCAACTCTCAAGTGAATACGATCTTTCAAGTGCTTCACACAAAGGAAACACCGCCCAGTTACTTCGAAACAAACAAGTTCACAAGTGCTTTTCAAGAAATTGTAGAAGCTTATGGGTAGGTGTGGTGATCAGTATAATTATGTCGAGGAGAAGCTGGTCTGTGATTTTTGCTATTTTTAACTGTCAAGCGATTGTGGTCATATTTTTGCTTCTTTCACACGGTACTGATCATTTAAACATGTACAGAGTGGGGCGGTATCAGGAGGCAAATCCTGGTTGTTTTACCATAATAACATTTCCATTCCTGTTCGCTGTTATGTTTGGTGACTGGGGCCATGGAATCTGCTTACTTCTGGGGGCACTTTATCTCGTATTGAATGAGAAGAAACTTGGAAGCAAGGTAATTTTCTAAAGTGGAATATATTCCCCTGCACACAGTAGAATCCTTGGTGATCTAAGAATTTTTCTTTTTGTTCACATCATCTTAACCCCCCTTTGCTTCAAGATTTAGGTGACATTTGAGATCTGTGATAACCTAAAATTCAGAATTGTAACTGCAGAAACTTGGCGATACTATGGAGATGGCATATGGAGGTCGTTACGTGATTCTCTTGATGGCTATGTTCTCTATTTACACCGGTTTCATTTATAACGAGTTCTTCTCAGTTTCATTTGGATTTTTTGGGGGATCAGCGTATCAGTGTCCGGACCCACAGTACTCTGTCAAGAATTGCCCGTAAGTTCCTTTCAGTAGTATGTTATTTGTGGTCGTTTAGTTTCTTAGAGAAGCTTGAAAGCTGTGTAATGTCTTTTTTGGGCTCTCCTCCCGTAGTCCTTTAGAAATTTGTTGTGTGCTTCTTAGCTTCAGCACCAGTTTCCGAATCAATTAGTTAAGTTGGTTTGGTTATATCTGATTTTAGGACGGCGACTACGTCGGGAGTGGAGAAATGGTCTTATGAGCCTTATGCATTTGGAATAGATCCTATTTGGCATGGATCACGCTCAGAGCTCCCATTTACCAACTCCTTAAAGATGAAGATGTCAATTCTGTTGGGCATTTGTCAGATGAACCTGGGAATTCTATTGAGCTATTTCAATGCTAGATATTTTCGCAGTGCACTTGATGTTTGGTAAATCCATCTAGCCATTTTCCAGATATTTGCAAGATACCTGCATTCAGTATCGAAGTTTAGTGCTTTACAATCAGGTTACAGACATGCCCCAAGTTCGAGTTTGATTGCTTGTAGAGATGATTCCAAATATGGAAATTGGTAGTTTGTGTGTTCTTTTTAATCAGTTGAAGTGAATATGAAGTTCGTAATGAAATTTTTATGTATGCAGAAAAAATGTTTACGGATGTTCTCATTTGATGTGTTGAACACAGGTATCAGTTTATTCCGCAGCTGTTGTTTCTCAACGCTCTCTTTGGCTATCTTTCGTTTCTGATAATCCTGAAGTGGTGCCAAGGAAGCAAGCCTGATTTGTACCATATCATGATTTATATGTTTTTAAGTCCTACTGAGGACCTAGGAGAGAACCAGCTCTTCATTGGGCAAACTTATGTTCAGGTATTACGGTATTACGATTATTCTCTCTGAGTCAAAGATTTTGCGATGTGGTTCAGCCTTGTTTACTATATTTAGATAATTTGAGCTGCATAATTGGAGGTCGCGTCAACACCCAACTCTGGTGAGTTATGTAAAGTTTATGTTTTATTTGTTTGCAGATTGTGCTGCTTTTAGTAGCCCTGGTTGCTGTTCCTTGGATGTTGTTTCCAAAGCCCCTGATTATGCGAAAGCAGCATATTCAGGTGCAAATCTCTTCCTCTGCCGCTTACTTTTCGACCTTCTAATGAAGCACTCGTCCGTATCTCATGTTGTCTTGAGGTTTTTCTGTTTCATGTGTACACAAGATATTCTGACATTTACAAAGTGCTTCTGTAAATTCACTTTTTAAGTCTCGGTTCAAAGTTGATGAACTGTAATTGATCCTTCTGCTTTTGTTGTATGACAAGTATTCTCGAGCCTTTACTAATGCCAGTTAACGTCGGTAGAACACGTAAATATTCCATGTCAAGTATGTTTTGCCTTCTTTTACATGTTTACGTCGTCTAAATCCTTAGGGTCTGCAAATTCTTCTGTTGGTTTTGATTCTTATGAGGATGTCATAAAAGGATTTCTTATCGAAGCAGGCTAAAATGTTGTGCTGACTGGATTGAACAGAAAATGCATGGGCGAACTTACGGATTTTTGCGAGAGTCTGATACCGAATCAACTGATTTGGAAGTCGACGTTGAGCATGACGAAGAGGAGTTCGAGTTTAGTGAAGTTTTTGTGCACCAAATGATTCACACTATTGAGTTTGTGTTGAATTCTGTATCCAACACTGCTTCCTATCTGCGGCTGTGGGCGCTCAGGTAATTCTCTTAGGTGTTGTTATTACTTTGTTCCATTTAGAAAGTCTTGTGCTAACTCTTTTTAACGTGTTGACGTGGTGTTACCAGCTGCAAAAAAATTGTTCTGTATCGACATGGTTCATGCTCTCTCGACTGATCTTTTCTAGGACTTTTGGCCTGCAGTCTTGCACACGCACAGCTTTCTGCGGTGTTTTATGACCGTGTTCTCATGTTCGCTTGGGAGTAAGTTTTTTTTAACTATGTATTGGATGCTGTCTGCGTTGCCATTCGAGCTTAAGAATTTTCTTCCCAGTGTCATTGGTAGTGCAGGCAAACGTAGAGTATCGGTACGTCTTTTATTAGCACTAGGCTAAATGAAAGTCAACCTGTTATATTCTGCATGTTTCATTCATGTGGTTCTAGGTTTAAGTTATAAACCGATAAAAAAATTTGAATTTCTGCAAGTGTGGACAGTAGAGTTTTCTTCATATTCGTGAATACTAAGGATTGCCATTCTTGCAGGTACACAAATCCGATTATTAGACTAATTGGTCTGATCGTATTTGCAAATGCAACTGTTGTTGTGTTGTTGTGTATGGAGACATTGAGTGCCTTTCTTCATGCACTGCGTCTTCATTGGGTGGAGTTCCAGGGCAAGTTCTATCAAGGAGATGGCTACAAGTTTCATCCGTTTTCATTCAAAACACTCTTTGAAGAAGATGATCTATAGTTTCCATCTTGAAGTCACTACTAAATATATATATTTTTTTTGTCTTTCCTTCCATGTATTATTTCAGTTGTACCCATTATTCTCAATAATTCAAATTGCTAAAGTATTCGAGTTTGTTTGCACGTTCGTGCATTGTCTCGAGGTTAAATCATGCGTGCAGACATGATGTTGCATAGGAAAAAGTTGACATGGTCGTACTGATAAAGTGTCGAAAGGATATTTCAAGAGGATCCTTCATGAGTGATAGTTTTGGGCATGAACGGGGATTATCACTTTGGTTAGTTGCTTTTTGTGCACAAGAGCAGATCATCAATAACATAAGAATATTAAGTACTTAATATTTCTGCTGTAAGATGGATACACTAAAGGGAAAATCAATAGATTGAGGACTATTCTGCATGTTCACATGCTTAGATACTATGAATGTAGTATCCTCTTTGCTTAATGTTGTAGCAAAATGCTCTGATGGAGCACGTGAAGTTTTGTTATTGCTAAAAAGAACTCGACCATCAAGTTTCAGCCATTTATGAAAATTCAACAATACCAGTTTATGTTAAAATTCAATATAGAGTTAAATAAGAGAAAGAATTATATTATTTGATAATAGAAATGGTATATATACAATACAAGCTGTTATTTTTGAGGTATTCTTTTTGCATGATTCTATCTTTTACATTTTATTCAAACTATACTTCAAGCATAAAGTCTTGATATTCTCTACGTGCTCTCATACCCTTACTATGTAGATATTCTTATTATGTATAATATTCTTACTAATGATTTGATTTTATTTTGTTATGCATGGATATCAATTTTATCCACATTGTTGTGTGATAACATGACTAAATAGCGAAAAATAAAAATATGGATGTTATTATAAAAGAGCCTAGCAAAAAGATGTAGAAAAATAAGGATGAAAGTTAGAAAGATAGTAAAAGATTTAGTCTTAATGCTGTTTTTTTGTAGAAGGGACTTCTATTTACTTTATAGAGGCATAAATGAGCCAAATCAAAGTAAATGAGATAAGAAATTAATATAGACATGTTTAGGAGAGAATTAATAATAGGATAAAGTAAAAAATTACCTCAAATTATCAAAAATTGATTCTCAGAGATGACCAGTTGTTAACCTTAGTCGAAATCAAATCCCAAGCCATAAAACCATGCTTATCCATGACTTTGGGATTCTTTAGTAGATTAGAGAGTAGAATTTGACAGCAGACTTGGGGAGGAATTTTTGGGCATTGGTTTTATATTACTTTAATCAATATTGAGTTTTTGAAGGATTTTCAAAGTTAGTGATATTCTTGATTGGTTTAGATTTTGAGAAATAGAAATATGTTTACAAATTTAAGGATTTCTTGAGTTTTTTAGTGTATGTATAGATGAATTTTGGACAAAGTGTTGGTGTGCTAGTTATAAATGTGTGTGCAAATTTTGACATCAATCAAATAGTTAGATCAAAGTATGTAAATGATTTTGTAGGTTGAGGTCTCAAAAATTGGAGTTTGAAGGTCAATGAATGTTTTTAAGATCTTCAACAATTTGTCAATTAGATTGAAGTGATTTTATTTTTTTTAATTTATTTTTATTATTTTTATTTTAAGGATATTAGACTTGATTTCTAATGTTTAAGTGGAATTCGAGAGTAATTCAATTGTTCAAGAAAGAGGTATTGGTGTTGGAAGTTTAACATTTAGGTTGGAATAGAAGGTTTCTTAATACCTGATTGGATTATCTTGCATTTCTTTCAATTGGTAAGTGCAATCAATTTCACCTTTCTTGTGCTTGTTTCTAACTAAGATATTATGAAGTGTGCAAATTTTGAGTTGATATCAATGATTCAATTGTTAGTTGTTGAGGTTCCATTTTGCTATAGGATTTGATTTAGGATTATTTATGATTTAATTAGGACTTAGGATTTAGTCTAGGATTTAATTAGGATTAAGGTTTGCTTGAAATTTGGTTTAGAACTTCACTAAGAATTGATTAGGATTTGTCTAGGAATTATCTAGGATTTAGGATTTTATTAGGATTTTATTAGGATTTTATTAAGGTTTAATCAGGATTTCAATTAGGATTTGACTCAGGACTTGGTTAAGATTTAATTAATATTTTTTTAGGATTCTTTTTTGTTTCTTTAAATTTTTTTATTTCTAATATTTTTTTTAAGATTATTTTTATTTCTTTAAAAGATTATTTTTATATTTCTTTAAGATTTCTTGTTATTTTTCTTTGAGATTAGTGCAAAGTTTTTTTTTTTTTTTTTTTTTATTTCTTTTATAACTTCTTTTAAGTTTATTTTGGATTGGTCAAAGTTTGATTAAGATTATTAAGGTTTATTTAAATTTTATTTAAGATTCTATTAAATTTGATAGGATTGTTGCATTTCTACTTACCTTCTATACTTAAATACTTGGTACATTCTCATGTAAGAACACACATAATATGACATAAGTAGTGAATCCAAAGTGAAAGCTTGAAGAGGAAGGTATTGGAGTTACTTGTTTTTTATTTTTATTTATTTAATGGATAATAAGAGCAAGAATTTTGAAGGAGCTATAGAAGGAGCTTTGAATAGAGCTATTATTAGAGTTTCTACTAAAAGATAAGGTATGTAAATGGATCGAACCATTGCAAGAATGTTCCAAGCTTTTACATTATCTATGGAACAATAGTAGAGTAATGATTGCAAAGAAGCTTTGGCAATCAAAGTATTGCAAGCAGTGGTTAATAAGGTTGACTAATTTGATAGAAGAGACATCTCAAAGTATCTAAGATGTTATGTGTGGAAAATAGAATTAAATTGGATCTTTGAATAAGAGATGATTGAACTATTTGGACTTTCTATGGTACTCAAGATATGAAAACATATTATATCAATTATGAAGCATTATAGAAGTTTATGGCAGATATTTTCACATGCATTAAAAGCTGAATATTTCTTAAAGGACATTAATTGTATTACTAAGAAATTATTTCTAAAATAGATTGAATGGCCTAGTAAGAATTTATAAGCAATAGAACTATTAAAAGAGTTTGAAAGGTAATATTTTTAATTATCCAAGGTGAAAAAGTTGACATTGGAGCCAAAGAAGATTGAATTATTTCTTTAAGCAGCCAATAAAGACTTACAAGAAAAATTGGAATTGCTTCTTGAAGATAAAGAAGAAAATGAAGAATTTACAACGAAGTAGAAAAAGGTTAAAGATGATGAAGGTTTGCTTACAAAATGAGAGATGAGAAAAGACAAGGTTAATATTCCAAGAGTATTACAAGTGCCTAAAATTCAAGTGCATACAATACAATAAATAATGCCTATTATCCAATTTCTAGTGTCTACATCAAAGAGAAAAGATATGGGAGTTGAAGAAATTATATGTGGTATGTAGGATCTTCAAATTAAATTAGTAAGACTTGAAGAAAAAACTTTTATAACCAATTTAAAAGCTATTCTTGAATAATGGTATGTACAAAGATGCATTTGATATGATGATGTTTTTTATATTATAAAAGATTGCAATAAATTTAGTAATATGGTATAACAAGGAGTTATTTTTTAAAAAGATGGAAGGTGACATTAAAAGATATAAGAGACCTCATTTAAATCAATTTTGGCAAGGAAGATATAAAAACATTGATTTAAGACTATTTAGTAGCATATAGAATAACAACACAAGAAAGTCTAAGTTATGGTATTAAGATGGATGATGAATTTGACAAAAGTGTGGAAACAAGAAGATTTTGGACTTTGGCCATTTCTACGATATAAAAAGAATATACCTTTAAAAGCATTATTAAGAATTGCAGCTATAATACAAAGTATAACAAGTTAGAAAGATTCAACAGAGACTCTTTTAGTTCATGCATGTATTGCTAAGAGCCAACATAAGTCCTTGATGGGAGAAAAGAGAAGAATTTTTTTTTGATGATACAAGAGAAGGAAATTCTTTTAAGAAACAAACTCAAAGAGACAAAGCTCATGGAGCGGTGTCGTGTTGTAACACGAGTATACCGTGAAAATATAAAGAAAGGGGACTTTTATTAATGTTCAGTTACCTCGAATATTGGGAGCAACGACCAACTCCAGTGCAAATACTGAGTGGCCAGGTACAATCACCCCGTTACAGTCAGCCGGGGCATACTGAAATGCTCCGTTCGATTCCAATAGCGGGAGTCAGCAAGAAGAGAAAGGACCAATTCACATGACGGGTGAGCCTGGTTCGAAGAGCCAATTGGATCCAATTTCAAGAATCCAATCCAGGTCCTCTTACCCAATATGAGACCTGCATTGGTCGGACAACCCAATGCGGTCTAATTAGGAAAAAATCCAGGTCTTACTACGGGCCTCAGCCAGCCTCACGCAAAGGACCAATTTGATCCAATTACGCAAACATCCAGGTTACTACGGGCATCTTACCCAATATCAGACCTGAATTGGTCAGGGGACTCAATGTGGACCCAAGTACGGGGTTTCGATTCTGTTTCAGGCTGTCCTATTCTCTGTGCCGTTTCAGGGAATGTTGTTTTCGGTAAATGGATCTCTTAAAGATAAAAACGGAGGAGAAAGCTCTGACGGTGGGAGCCAATTTCGGATCCAAGACGGAAGATTGAAGAAATTCAGAGGATAAGGTTAGGGGGGGAATAAGTTTTTGGGGGGTTTTTTTTGGATCGAGAGAGCTAGCTTCATGCTTCGGGCGGGGAAAGAAGACAGAGAATTGGGTTTTTTTTCTTCATAGGGTTTTGGGAAGACTGAGGCAATCGTTGCTGAAGTCAGTGTTGTAATGGTGAATCGGGATTTTTAATGAAGTGGGTTTGATTATTCTTGACTGTTTTGTGAAATCGAGTTACGTCTGAGATTGAAGAATTAAAAGGGTGTCTATAGGATTGAGTATGCGGAGTGAATGAAATTTATTGGGTTAATCTAACAAGACAGTCAGTGGATACAAGATTGTAAGTACAAAGCGGTATCGAAGATTAACAGTTTGGGTTGTTCGGGGTTCTCTGTAACGATTAGAGACCTACCGACCGGGACAAAAAGGACTTTGGCGAGCAGTTGAAGGGCATCCGTATAGATTTACGGTGTATTCTTGCAGTCGTTTATATTCTAACAGTCAAAAACTGATAGACTGCTTGACTATTGGCGAAT